TGTGTAAATGAAAGTACGTGGTTCTCTGAGTTCTACGAACTGCTCTAGCAAATTACTTAAACCCAGAAAGGGAGCTGTGAGATCTCTTGACTTGTAGTACAGGTCACAACCTACTACAGGACTAGGCCTTCATCTTACAAGATTTGACACTAACCCCAGGAAGACAGTGCCAGAATTGAAGTGAATTAAGAGAATATTTGGTTGGCATCCACTGAAGAATTACTATTTTTTTTTTACCACATATATGTGGGTATAGAATTATTTTGTTGTTAAATGTAAGCGCAGTGAGACATAAAATCCATTTTTTTTCCTTCAGAGCTATACCATTAAAAAATATCAACATGGTTAGGTGTAATTCTTAGTATATGTACCTTTATATTTTCTTGGCAAAGCAGAAATAGTTGGATGAGTATAAAGACATGTATTACTAATACATATATATGCAATACAATTTATCTTCAAGTCAGTGAAATGACTGATTATGTTGTTATTAAGCAAGAATTCCACATAATCAAGGTTTTTGAGGGTAATGAGCTAAAGAATTAAAATATTCAATGCAAGTATATACAGTTAATATAAAAATTAAAATTATTTTCATGCTTTCAAATGTTATTTTTCTGTTTAATGTAAATAAGTATTCAAATTTAAAGTAAAATTGTTTATAGAAATCTGAAATTTTATATTATAAAAATAAAACTATTTTTGATTCAAATATTCAACATCTATCTAGTTGACAGTGTAATATCATGGACTGTGCATGTTATACTAGGTACACATATAACCAAATTCAAGAGTAATGTGAACTGTTTAGTAAGGAAAATGATCCTCAGCCACCATGCACATCTGTGGTCCTAGTTAGAAATGATACATTATTATGCAAGAAAATACTGCATGCATATACTAAGAGGAAGAATCCAACAGCTTAGTATATCCTTCCTTTTCCTTAGTACCTTATACTGCTCAAATTCTTTCTGTAATCTGAACAAGGTTCCCTCTTCAGTCAATAACAGCACAACCCAAATTTTTGCAGCATTTGCTCACCATAACTTTTGTTTCAAAAGAGATATGGAGACACATTTCCCTGCGACCCAACTTGTGCTAGATACTTGGACTTTTGCTAGACATCACAGACAGTGGTTGAAAAGGCAATTCCCCACATCTTTATATTCAACCCTCTGTTTAATCCCTTTGCAATGACTGTGGACTGGCTCTAGTGTGAGCTGGACCTAATGATTTGCTTTTAACAAACAGAATGTAGTAAAAAACATGGGATATGTTGTTTCTGAGAAAAGTCATAAAGGATGTGTCTTTCATTTTGCTGGTACTCTATTGCTGGCTTTGCTGAAGAAGTGCCACACTAAAGAGGCCACATGACAAGAAAATATGAGTGGCTCCTGGACTCTCCTTCAAGGAACTGAGACCCTCAGCACAACAACCCTTAAACTACGTAAGTAAACTTAAAAGCAGATCCTTTCTAAGACAAGCTTCCTTCCAGATAAGATCAATGGCAATATTTTCACTGTGGCCTTGTGACAGTCTCTGAAGCAGAGGATCCAGCAAAGCTTCTCTTGGGTTTCTGATCCACAGAAATAGTGACACGATAATGTGTGTTGCTTTGAGCCAGTAGTTTTTGTGGTAATTTCTTACCTAGCAATAGATAACTAATACACTGTGCTAGAACTGATTACTGGAATCAAAATCAGAGACATCTATACATTCTGTCCAAATTTACTCGTCACATCAGCACTCAAATAGTTTCAGATTTCAGAGCATTTAAAATCAAGGATACTTAACCTGAACATCTACAGAAGACTCCACTTAATAAACTCAAGTTTCTAAGAGGACATTTTGGCAATAGGGGGGAATCCTACTGATTTTAAAAACTAACATATGCAACAGGACATAAGAAAAGTCAGGTTAGAGGCCTCCTGAAGGTTACTGTCATTACTGGTCCCACTACATAAGGACACATTCTAAAGTAGATCATATAAAAATGTTTGTTTCTGTTTACCCCTGAATTTACTCAGTCACATGAGATAGCTAAGGAGTCCCAAACCTCATTATCAACTTGTTACATGTTTATTTTTATGAAGTCTTAAATTGGTAGAAGTATATGTCAATGACTTATAAAACCATGGAGAGGAAGACTATTCTTATGGCTTGAATTGGAAATCTCTAAATAACATTCTCTTACAAAACCCACGACACACAGAAAGCTTTTCAAATATATTTGTCAAATGAGTAAATGGATATCAAAAAGGGTGTTTTCAATTACAACTGCTGGAACAGAAACTATGAAAATGGAAAAAAAAAAAGCCTTTACTATCCTCAAATAAGATACTTGTAGAAGTACTTAAAATGTACATGGTGTACTGAAAGCTCATTCCAAGTATTTATCTGTTATCCTATAAACTTAAGTCTGTTAACAACAATCCTTACAGATTCATCAGTGTGAGCAATTACCACCAACTGGTAAAAATAACTCAGATGTGTATATATACTGCTAGAGTGGATATAGTTACATCATTTTCATGTGTCAGAGCAACCTATCTTAGAAGTTTAACCACCACTGTCTTATACCGATGACTAACTCAGTAAGACTTTAATATATAAGAAACACAAGCCTTATAATATATAAGAAACATAAGCCTTATAATTTATCCTACCACAACAAATTAATTGCTTATAATGTGAAGCACCTTCTATCCATTTTTATACAAAAGTAAAACTTCAGAGAACTATTGATAAAATTCCTGTTAGCTTGTACTTACAAACTACAACTAGAAAGAAAACATCAAAATCCCAAATGAAATGAAAAAGTTTTCTTTCACATCGAAAGAAAGATTGTAATACAGGAGACCACTAAAAATGTTTGTGATGCATTCTCTTACTCTGATTGGTGACCACAACAGAGATGAAGACTGAGGTACTCTGAAAATTCTGTGAGGCTTAACCCAGACTATATTCTTCATGCTCCTATGGAAGTAAGTGTTAGGTGGTGTATAGGATCCTCAGCCTCCAAGGGCCAAGAACAACTGCTGCAATGAAAGAGCAGAGTAGTTAAGGTGTGTGCTCTTTATAATGATACCAGCTAGAATATCAATCTGTTGACAAAGTCAACTCTGTTTGACTCAAGGCTGTGGAGCTTCTGATAAGACATAGATGTTTAGGAACAGAAGCCATTTTAAACACAGCAGGGGTACTTTCTATTTCAAGAAAACCCATTTATAGAGTCTCTCAGAAAACTTAAATCATTCTTTCATTTACAAAATCATAATATAAAATATATTTTTAAGCTGAAACAGGGAGTCTACTATACAGATCATTTGCCATAAGTGATTATAGTATAAATACTAAATAAAACAATTTACAAATGACATAAACATAACTGTATTAAAAATTGTAGCTTAAGCTGTAGCCATACAATTTACGCAAAGCGATCAACAAAAGCAAAAGAAAAAACTTCAAATATATTTCAAAGGAAGATCACAGCACTGACTCCTTAGAAAAACAAGTAAATCAAGTAACACAGGTGAGCCCTACCCAAAATTATGTTATACTTTTTACTTGTGAAACAATTAATGGCTACAAAGAAATAAAAAATTGCTTTTCAATACAAGCAACAGAGTTTATTTATAGTAAACACTCAATCACTGTCCAAAAAGGAACCACTAAGGCAGAGAAATATAGGATAAGTTTAAAATGCATTTTCAGAACTGTGATATAATCTGTGGAGGCAAATTAAAGAAACTTTACTACTTTCTTATATAGAAGTCTAATTATCTAGCTTAATTTCGACTAGACAATATAAAATATAGATTAGGACTCCATTTGTTGTCTTATAGATAGTTTTGCATCATTTTCACATGGCTTCAGTATTTTCTCTAAGGAAATGCCTAATTTAATGAATTATTTTTTAATGTTTCAAGACAAGTAAGTCAAAGCATGTATATCTCAAGTAAATGAAAAACTTTCTTTTAAAAATAAAAAAGTAACAAAACTTGTAAATGTAAACAAAAAAGACAAAAGTAAATATGAAGCTAACTTAAACACTACCAGAAAAATCAGTGTATAGTATATGAGCAAGGCAGAGTGGCACACTCCTATAATCCCAGGTTCTCGGGAGATTGAAGCAAAAGGATTACAACTTCAAGGTCAGCCTAGGCAATTTACGGAGACCCTGTCTCAAAAGTTTTAAAAGGGCTTAAAAGTTTTAAAAGAGGATCTCAGTGGCAGAGCACTTGCCTAGCACATATCAGGCTCTGGGTTCAATCCCCAATATCATAAAAATATATAAATGAATGAACAAGGGAGGGAGAGAGGAGGAGGGGAAGAGAGAAAAGAGAAAATGGAAAAGATTTTTATGATTTTGAAATAAAGACTAAAGGGGAAAGAACACTGGTCTCCTTTTTGAAGGTTTTATTTCAAAATACATACTGAGCAGATAAAATCATTCTTAAAAAATTAATATTTTTCACTTAAATAGGTTGTCAGGACTATGAGAGATACTAAAAGGGGGGTGTGAATAAACAAAAAAAGGTCAAAGACTTCATCCCCCCCCACTAAAGCACTTGTAACAAAATATTTATATAATTTTATTCCCTTTCATTAGAGTTTAGTTTTGAGTTGTCACTGACATAATGAGATAATAAAGATATATTAAATTATAACTCCATTCTATCTAAAAGTGAGTTTCTGAAAATACAGTTTCAATACTAAGTAAAAAACACAAAATAAGTAAACCTGGATGAAATGTTATGATAACACTGGTTAAATGTCAGATTTATGTAGTTAAACAGCCCAGTGTATTTTGTTTGAAAGAACAGGATATGACTATAGCACAAGTGGCTCATCATGCAGCAATTTTAGACCCTTCTAAGAAATGATTCAGAGAAAATACTCATGCACCCTCTGGTTTACGTTTTGGATGAATAACGCAAAAATATTAAATGGAAGATTAGTTATTATTTGCAATTTACACATTACTAGATATGTGTTACCTCAACAATATCCGAGTTGGTTCTGCTTTCATGGGGCTCGTTATATTCCGTATACTTGAGAAGAACTTTGTCCATATCAGTGCTGGCATACTGAAACAATTTGTTAGAGCTGTTGAAAATGATGAGCGCTATTTCACAGTCACAGAGCACACTAAGTTCATAGGCTTTCTTCATCAATCCAAACTTTCTCTTTGTAAAAGTAACCTAGACAATCAAAGGGGAAAAAGATATTTTTATTAAGAGCATTAGCAGTACTTGAAATATAGCTACCTAAAGATAAGTCATCTTACAAATACTGAGCCAGATTTCAAAGATGCACAGCCTCATGCTTCACACGAGCCTTTCTCTTCCCCATTTTGCCACAAATTTAGTCCTATGTTTATCTTGTATGTCCAAGGGCTCTTTGGGGAAGTCTCCCTTCCTTCAAAAAGGTATTGTCTTATTGATGGGGGGACTACACTACAAAAGGCAAAAAACAAAACAAAACACAAAAACCCACATGAAAATAGTTGGCCAGTGGTCCCTTACCATTCAGCTTAAAACTGCTACCATCAAAAAACCTAAATCCCACCTCAGGTAATTCAGCATCACCCATACTTAACTTCCTAAAAAACTAAAAGCATCCATTAGTTAACTGATGCTTCTCCTCCAACCCCAAGCTTTCTACTACCCATTCTGAAATTCATAGCCTAAGATCAGCAAGTGTTCTGATATCAAGTTTTTCTCACACTATTTCTGTAACTCAAATTCAAACTTGCTATCTGAATTTCTCTCAAATAGACAGCATAAAATGTTTTCCAGTTTGTTTAAAAATATTACATGTCTTTTACTGAAGGCCACTAGAAGGGAGGTAAGTCTTTCTATTGCCTTCCAAATGATTTTTCCTTTCTTCCCCTTAAACACTTCAGATATTTTGAAGTTTCTGCTATTCAATCATACCACTTAATTACCTTCCTTGTGGTGAGCAAAAAGTGACAGACCCATATTACTCTTCCTCATACAGAATTCTTAGTGACTTTGACATATGTGTTTGAAAAAAACCAACAAACCAAACAACAACAAAAAAATGCCAAATTCCTTCCATTTTTATTTCACAAATCCCAATGATTTTACCTCCCATACATGTTCGTCACACACTCCTATTGGCACACTTTTCAACTCTGCCATCACCAATTAATTATACATCATTTCCAAAATCTCAACTGCATGAAATTCACTGTCTCCTTCCCAGCTCTTCTATTTTGTATTAACTCGCTCTATATTTTTTTACCTTATCAAATCCTCCAATCTATTAACTTTCCTATGTTACTGTAGTTTAATCACCCTTTGACAAAATGCATGGGATCAAAAGTGCTTCTTGGTTGGACTTTTTCAGATTTTGGAATATTTGTACATATACAATAAGGTATCCTGGAGATAGGGCCCAGGTATAGACACATAATTCATTTAAGTTTCACGTACACCTTATGTACACAGCCTGAAGGTAATCTTATACAGTATTTTTAATGCACCTGTGTTTTGATTTTAACCCATCACATGAGATCAGGTGTGGAATTTTCCACTTGTGTCATCATGTCAGTACTCAAAATGTCCACTATGATTTAGAATTTTTGGAGTAGAGATGTTCAATCTCTTATCTACTCTGATATGCTTCCTTCTCTCTTTAGTTTTGGTGGTCCATCACTATTTAATTCCCTTTCAAAAACACATAATTCCATTATCCTTCTCTTATTCGCATACTGGCTGGGCACAGACCTAATGGCAAACTGAATCCCTAAACATGTACCCAATTATACATTTACTTTAATGCAAGTAGCTCAAAATTCCTAGGAATACAAACACATACCTGGTATCTCTCACGATCATATATTTCAACACTCAATGTGGCTTGGCATTCCCAAATTCACTGTTCTGTGAATTAGCCCATTTTCTAAGTCAAACACATATTTCCCAAATTTTCTCCTATAACTTCACTATGATAATCCTGCTTCAAATTACTGAGAAAAGAGACAAATGAACTACCTCATATTTCCATCACCAAACTAACTTAACTGTTAATTTAACAGCTTAACTGTTTCATCTATACCTTTCCCTGCTCTTGCTTCTCTGATGTTATTGATGTGTTTATTCCTATTTCTTACAGCATGCTTTTCCCTCATGAGGGTTTTCTTGCACTCTACTAGAACAAGTATCATAAGGACATACACTGTTCCATCATTTCCTTCAACTCTAATAATCAACGCTTCTATTTGCTCTTATTTCAGAGTAAAAATGTTTTACCATCTACTCTCTCTGTAACCTAATACAGACGACCATTTCTCATATTCTACCCAGACTGCTCATCAGTATGATCAGTGTCCTTTAATTAATGTGATCAAAGTCAATGGTTACTTTGGTTTTTATATGCATACTTCAGTAGCACTTGATAAAATTAACCACATTCTCACCTTTCAACCAGTCTATTCCAGACGTTCATGACACAACATGCTTCACTGGCTACCTATTCTCAGCATTTCCTGCTACTTCCTCTTCAAGCCTACACATATTTAAGTATTTGCAGACTTTTGACTTGGGCTCCCTTCTCTTTTATACTCCTAAGTTTTTGCCTGGGATTGCATTCAGCTTCATGGAATTAAAAACAACAAATAATTGCTCTTTCCATAAACTTCCCCATTTCAGCAAAGGCACTATTATTCATTCAAACAACAAAAACAAAAATGCTGAATTACCTTTGATTCTTATGTTAACAATCCATCCATCAGCAAATTGTGCTGGCTTTACCTCTAAAATATAAACTATATCCATTTCTGTCTATACTACTATCACCCTAATCAATTTACATCATCTCTCATCTGTATTGTTTACATAGTGATCTTACTGGATTTCCTAATATCTACAACACCCTACAGTACATGTGCCAAGTAACTGTCAAAGAAATATTTTTTAAACATAGACCAAATGCTTTAATAGCAGTGTGAGGTTTTTCATTGTATTGAAAGTAATACCAAACTCATTGAGCACAAAAAGAAACGATCTGTTTTCCATTTACATATCTGACCTTTTCTCTATTATAATACTCTTATCACCAATTAAGCCACATTAGTAGGGATGTGCGCATACATGTTTTTGTGTGTTCCACAGACACCAACAACTTTCCAATTTAAAAACTTTGCTACATTCCCTCTCTGTGGAAGTCATCCCTAAAAAGTAAATCTGTTATTATTTATCTTTTGAAAAAGGCTTTATTACATAAATATACAAATATGTGATTATAGATAAGTGCATATAAGGAATATAATAAATCTTTTGCTTGTCTCCTTACTGTGTACTGCATCTAACATTAAACCCCTCAATCCATATAATCAGCATAATTATTTTATCCTGTACTTTTGTACAAGATCATATACTTGCACACATATATTTTTGTATACATATAATAGATTTTGCAATATTCCTTTCTTTGTTTTAGTAACTTAATCATACCTCATAGGTGTATCTCCAAGTTAAATAGCTATAACAGCTCTAAGCTCTCAGTTTCATAATTTTCATGTACTTTTTAATCTTTGTTAATACGATTGATGTAAAATTAAAATCTCACTTCTTTAATATGCATTTTCCTAATTGGAAATAACAAACTTTTTCTTATGCCTGTTGTCATTTGGAATTTGTTTTCTCTAAACTGCCATAAATTATTTTCCTATAATTTGTCTTTCACTTCTCAGCCTAAGAGATTTTTATAGAGATATATTAATCCTACTTTACCAGTACCTTTTAAAGCTTTTCAACTATATATTAACTTTGTTTATGTATCATTTGTCATTAAGTAGTTTTCAATTTTCATTACAGACTGCAACACTGGTTTTCAGAAAACTGGCTATATTATACCCTTATTAAATACACTAAACAGTGTAACCCAAATCATTTACTACTTAAGATGTGCCAAGATATACTTGCTGTATTAAAATTTTGAATCTAGCAGTACAGTAATTTCAAATATTTTTATTCTTTTAATATTAAACAAGAAGAAAATGACAATGTAAAAGCTCTTTGCAAGAACATTCTTACTCTAGCAGATACTTTTAAAGTAAGTGAGATATTAAGAAGACATTATTAAAACATAGGCAATGCTCCACTGCCTGCCTTGCAAGTGCAAGGTCCCGAGTTTGATCCCCAGTACCAAAACAAAACAAAAACATAGTTAATGCCTCTTCAGATATGCTTTAGGCATGATTAAAGAAAATTCTTTCTCTAAAAGAATAGGTCACTATCAGTTAAAAAAAAAAAGTCCTTCCCGTGCTTTCCAAAAACACATATTCAAAAATGTATTTTAAAAATTATCCACTGAAGTTGAAGATGAAGGAAGGGATTAGCGGAAGAGGAGCTTAGCCTTTATTTCCTCTCCATTCCTCCAACTAGAATGAGGTCAAAAGAGGTTTTTCACCAGCCAGATAATTTTCACAAAAACATACTTATGCTTCAATCATGGCAAAAAAATCTATAAATTGAAAATTATAAACTTCATACAATATTCCAACCTTTCTTTCTTTTTTTTTTCTTCATTGAGTTTATTGGTACATTTTAGGTATACAGTACAGTTACATTCACCATTGAGCTCTTGTACCTTTACATGACAGGTCTTGGTTCTCATTTTTTCCCCTTGTCCCTGCCCTCCCTTCACCCCCTTTCTAAACGAAAACATTACATTTTCAGCACTTAGTTCTTTATTAAAGATTTAATATCTCTGGACTAGCTTTAGGTGGACAGGAAATTTAGAGGAAGCCACAAGAATCCCCCACAAATCCCCTGAGCTCATATATTCACATGTAGCACCCCTCCATCAACATCCCTCTGAAGAGCAGTACATTTAGTACAGCTGATGAACCTACACGGACACTTCATTATCACTCAAAATCTATAGTTCACATCAGAATTCACTTGATGTTGTACATTCTGCAGGTCTGAATAAAATGTTTACTGATATGAACTGTACACATATAGTATCAGAGTATTTTTACTGCCTTATAATCTCTGAATAATATTCCATTGTCTGGATGTACCACATTTTTTATTCATTCACATACTGAAAGACACCTTGGTGTTTCCAGCTTCTGCCAATTATAAGGCTGCTATAAACATTTTCATGAAGGTTTTGAGTGGACTTTAGTTTTCAACTCCTTTTGAGACAGAAAAAAAACAAGGCCCAA